CCGCCCGCACCGCCTCTGCGCTGGTCGCGCGACCCGCGGCCCCGCCAGGCCAGGCTGACGCTGCGACGCCTGGCGCACCCGCGGCGGCCGTCGGCGCCAATGCGCAGGCGGTAACTGCGCTGGAGGCTATGCAAGCAGCTAGCTGCGGGCCGGCCGGCGCGCCGGCGGCGCGCCGCGCCCCTGGCCTTGACAACTCCCTGCTGTCTCAGCTGGCGGCGGACGAGGAGGAGCGCCCAGACGTCACATGGGCTGCCTCACCGCCCCTGATTTCAAAGGCCGCTCTGATCCAGTCGACGGGCGAGGGCGGCAGCGCACCCGGCGACGGCGGCAGTGGGTCGTCAAGGGCCAAGGAGGCGAGCAGCAGCCCCGAGGGCCGCGCCGGCGCGGGCCGCTCGCGGCGCGGGACGGCGTCGCCGGGGCATGAAGGCAGCGGCAACAATCAGCAGGCGTCGGTGTGCGGGAGCGGCAGGGGCGGGATAGGCGGCCTGCGGCGGCTGCTGGGGCGTGCGCGGGCCGCGAGTGTCGGGGGCGCGTCCGTCGGCCCGGCCCGAGCGCCAGCGCCAAGGCGAAGCAGCGCTGCGTCGACCGCAGGTGCGGCCCTCAGCGATGCAGCGCCGTCAGACGTGGCCACAGGCTCGCTGTGCGGCAGCAAACAGCAGCAAGATTTGCAGCGGCGGGAGCAGCAGCAGCAACACCAGCTGCAGCAGATGCTTTCACCACACCCGCCGGACCGTGGCAGTGGCGGCAGTGGTGAGGGCGATGCTGGCGGCTCTGGGGGCGACGACGTGTTGCAGCGGGTGCTGGACTCGTTGGTGGTGCAGAGCCCCAGCTGCGTCACGCCGGCCGGCCGTCAGCGCGTTGGGTGAGGAGGGGCGGGTGCCGGGCTTGTGGGGGTTGTGGGGTACTTCGCATGACGCTCAGCGCTCTGCCTAGTGGCCGTGTTGACGGGCAAGCCCATGGACTGGACAGCCGCAGATGCAGCGGCAGCATGGATACGCGGACGCGGCTCGCACAGCTGCACCTGTCAAAGCCACCCACATGCTCGAATCGCAGGGCGTTCAGGCACCCGGCGGGCGCCCCCTGCTCCGCGAGCGCTGCCCTCAAGGCGACTGCCAGCAAGCCGCCAACAGCCCGCGCCGCCGCCGCGTGCCCCTCGACGCTGCGCGGCTGCAGCAGCTCCGTGCGGCGGGAGCGGGTCGGGCAGAAGCGGCGCGCGCTGCTGGACCTTCTTGACCGCGTTGAGGTTATGGTGCGCGGCAAGGTGCTCAGGGGGGAAATACCAGAGGAGGCCGCGGCCGCGGCGGCGGCAGAAGCGGCTGCGGCCGCCGAGGCGGCGGTCGAGGAGGCGGCGGGCTTTGCGGACGAGGAGGCGCAGCAGCAGGCGCAGCAGCAGGAGCAGCACGCACAGCAGCAGCAGCAGCCGCAGCAGCAGCAGCAGCAGCAGCACACGGGGCAGGCGGACATGGACGTACACCAAGTGGACTTGCGAGGTTGCAGGCTGGCGCCAATCGCAGAGGCGGCAGCAGAGGGGTGCGGCTTTGCCACCCCAAGGTTCTCGCGACAGCGGCAGAACCAGGAACAGCAAAGCGTGTCTCAGCAGGAGCAGGAGCGGCAGCAACACGAGGGAGGGCAGCAGCGCGTGTCCCAGCAGGAGCAGCAGTCACAGTACCGCCGGCACAATCCTGGGCCCAGAGCGAGTGAACAACGAGACCAGCAGCAGGCAAAGCAGATTGCCCCCATCGCCGTTGCCGCCACGCCACCCACAGCAAAGCGGCGGCAACAGGCGCCAAGTGGGCGGACGCCCGCGCCGGCGGCGGCGGCTGCGGGCGCTGTGCCGCAGTCGGCCGGGCGGTCTGCCCGTGTGGCGGCGGCCCTGCAGGAGTATGAGGACTTTTTGATGGATCTGGAGGGCGGCTTGGAGGACGCGGCTGAGGAGGCAGCTGCGGACCCCACCCAGCAGCTACAGCAGCAGCAGCAGCAGCAGCAGCAGCAGCAGCAGCAGCAGCAGCAGCAGCTTCCAGGGAACGACTCGTGCGACACGCAGGTGCCCACGACGCCGCCGACCCTGCACACGCTGCCAACGCAGGGCGTCGCCGCGCCGCCCCAGCCGGCTGCGGGCGCCTCCACGCAGCAGCTCCAGCAGCGCCCGATGCAACCGGTGTCGTTAGGGCAGGAGCAGGGCGGCAGCGCTCAGCAGCAGCAGCGGCGGCAGCAGCGGCGGCAACGGCATGAGGAGCCGCCGCGGCTGGTGGGGGACCGCAGGGCGGTGTATCATGTTGTGCTGGAGGCTGAGGACCGCGGCCACGAGGTCGTGGCGCGATGCATCAACCCCTATACGGTGTGTGTGTGTGTGTGTGTGTGTGTGTGTGTGTGTGTGGTGTGTGTATGCGCGCACGATAGTACGATGTCCTCCCGCCTTCAGATGCAATGGCTGTGCTAGCGACTCACGATTGCCAGAGCCGAAAGGCGTGCACACTCACCGCCCCGCCGGCCGCACAACACGCATCGTGAATCAATTGGTCCGCAGGGCGAAGTCGTCACCGCCCACATCGGCCATCCCTGGAGCGAAACCCCGCTGCCGCCAGGCACGCCCGTCAACCTCATCGCCCCGATGCGGCGCGGCGCGCCCCGCCCGGCGGGAGTAATTGCAGACGCCGGCTGGGGCGCTGCCGCGCCGCCAGCGGACGAGGGGGCGCACTGCTTCTTTGACCACGGGCAGGGGCTGCTGGTGGCACACCCAGATGTACTGCTGTCAGGTGGGCCGCCTCGCGGCCGGCGCTGCGCTCGCGCGCGATTGTCGCAACGCATGGGCGCCAGCGGCCCTCGCGAGGGCTCGCGGCTCCCCCGTAACATGCACGCAGCTTTGCAACGACCAAAGTCAGGACACCGACACTGTGTGGTTCCATCAATCCACCAGACGCGCCGTTGGTGTTTCCTGTCGTGTTGAGCAGCTCGTTGGCGGCGCGTTGATTTCGTTGTCGCCCCCTCGCGCCGCCGTGCAGGCACCGTCGTCGCGGCCGCGCTGCAGTGCACGCGCCGCGCATGGCTGCAGGAGCGCTTCGGCGGCACCCCCGGGGACAAGGCGCTGCTGGGCACGCTGGGCCACGATCTGCTGCAGCGGGCCGTGGCCGCGAGGGCGCGCGGGAACGAGGGCGTCGACGCCGGCTGGCTGCGGCAGCAGGTGCGGCGCGGCAGGCTCGAAGGCGGCACGCAGTATCCAGAGCGGCACACAGTAAAGAAGGCGGCACGCAGCAGACAGGGCGGCATGCACTAAAACGGGCCGAGGGCGGATCACACTCAGCAGTATGCCTGCCAACCCCTGGGATGCTTCAGCTGTGTTGGTGATCCAGGGGTGGCCAAGGAAGGTGTGATGGCAGCCAGGGTCGGGTCGGATGTCGGAGGTTTGCCCCGGCACCCTGGCGTATCGGTACCTGGACATGCCGTTGCTGCTCGGTTTACAGCGCTGGCCCGCCGCCCGCAGATTGACGAGGTGGTTGCGGCAGCTGGAGAGAAGCTGCTGGAGGTGGGCCTCACCGAAGAGGCGGCCGCGGCGGCACTGGGTCAGCAGGCGCCGGCGGTCGCGGCCTGGCTGGCCTCCTACATGCCTTCGCCTCCAGAGGAGTACCGCCAGACTCAGCAGCAGCAGCAGCAGCAGCAGCAGCAGCAGCAGCAGCAGCAGCAGCAGCAGCAGCAGCAGCAGCAGCAGCAGCAGGCCGTTGGCGCCCGGCAGCCAAACACGGCTGAGGGCGCTGCCGCCGCGCTGGGCGGGCCACTGGACGCGGGCCCAGGCGCGGGGCTGGCGGCGGGGAGGGCGCTGCGCGCCTGCGTGGCGAGCGTGGCGGACATAGAGGAGAACATCTGGGCGCCAAAGTACGGCCTGAAGGGCCAGCTGGATGCCAGCCTGGTGATGCGGCTGTCAGAGTGCGAGTCGGTGAGGCAGGCGGGCCGCGGCGGCGCCGGCGGGCACGGCGCCGGCGGCTGGGGCAGCGGCGGCGGCAGCGGCGGCGGGCGAGCGGCGGCGGGTGGTTGGGGCGGCGGCGGAGGGGCAGGGG